TCACACAGGTCCCCCTCCGAGGGGGGTGGAGACAGTGGAGAGCACACCTCAAAGTTAGCCCCCGACAGGAAAGGGGAGATGGCGCTCACACTGGCTCTCAGACTCTCAAGGGCCATCGTTTGAGGCTGCCCCTTGGAGAACATTCTCCCTGTCCCTGGTGCAGCCGAGCGGGCTTCTCTGGCCAGAGAAGTCTTCAGACGGGGAGTTGCGACTGCTGGCAGGGCAAGTCCCCGCCACAGCCGGCAGGATCGGCCACCTGCGGCCGGTATGCACGGGCACGGCGCACTGCAAGGTTCGGGACCTGCTCAGCTGGTTTCGGTGCACACACACCTGCGCCCCCACACTCAGAGCTCACACGCGCAGGGGTCCCACACGCACACTGCGAGGCCACCCACTCCTACTCAGGGGTCACCGCTGGTGTCCCCCTGATGACTGACCGGGTCGTGGGCACGCGCGGTGGAAGGACAGGCAGCTCCAGCGTCCGACAGAGCGAATCTTCGGTCATGGGCTCTGCTCTGCTTGACCTCACGCTGAACCTCCCAAGTCAGGTGAACGCTGTCAATCAGAACCAATTACCTGGGTCAGGCCTGGTATTTCGGGGCTGGGGGCTGGGCACGCCCTTGCCCCCAGGGTTACAGCCCCGCTGTGCCTGCTCAGCACCTCGCCAAGGAATCCCAGGGCTCCAGGTCCTCAGGCCCTGTCGTCACAGCCCCAGCCTTACCAAATGACCCGTCCCCAGCCTGACCCCGAGGTCCTGGGGCTGGCCAGCCTTCTGCCCCACAGCTGGTGGCTGCCTGGTCCGTGACCCACCACAGGGTGAGGGGAGACAACTTTTGAAAGGGCAACCCTCCACCCTCTGGCAGGCTCTGAGACCCATCACCCACCCCCATGACTCAGTTGCAAGAGACAGAAACCCAACTTGAACCTTCTTAAGCAAGAAAGGACATTTATTGACTCATGTAACTAAATAGTCCAAGTGATAATTCTGACTTCAGGCTTGGCTGGATCCAGGAGGTCCAAGAACACAGGCAGCTGTATTGCCTCTCTCGGCTCTGCTGCCCACCATGTCACCTTCATTCTCCCACGGGAACAAGGGCTGTGGACAGACCAAGTCTATGTTGGCTGGCTCATGACCCAGCCCCAAGGCCTAGCTCACTGCTGGGCTCTGACATCTCGTCCTCTTCCCCGCCCTTCCCTTCCTGGACTGTCCCTGTGTGTTTGAACCATCGCTGCCAGACTGGGGGCCCAGGGGCAGGACTCAAGCTGGTTCTTCTCTGGGTGGCGAACCCCGGGGGTGGGGGGTGCCTTGTGGAGCGGACAACTGGCAAGAGCATTCAGTTCAATTATGATGGAAACAAATTCCTCTCTGTGTGTCACGGCCTTGAGGACAGTAAGTGCAGAGTTGCAGACTCGGTGGCCCGTGACCAGACAGCACCCACTCCTGTACTCCCTGTGGCCTCTGAGCTCCTAGGCTTTCCAGGGGACTTGGAAGCCTTTGGGCAGCAGGGAACGCTGTGAGGGAAGGCTAGGTGCTGGGACCCAGATGTTTGGCTGTCCCTGCTTCTGTCATCAGTTCACTGTGACTTTGAGCCAGATCCTTTCCTTCTCTGGGCCTCCGGACCCCCACCCCAACCACAGCTCCTGCATATCTCCAGTGCCCCCCCACCCCTCCCCCTGCCTCCTGCATTGTCACCAAAGTTAGCGACCCTGGCAGGCAGAGAAAGGTTCTCACTAAGCCAGTCACTCACCCAAGGCCCCAGTGTGCATGCAAGAAACACCAAATCCGATGCTTCAAGAGGCCGCAGAGATCCAGTGGGGAGGAAGCTGGTCCTGGAAAAGCTGAGGAAGCACCAGAAGACAGAGAGGGCAATGATTCCAGGCACCCTGCCCAGGCTTCCCCACCATGTTCTTGGGTCACCCTAGAGAGTCAATTCACAGGCATGATGAACTTCCCAAAGCTTAAGAACAAGATGTCCAGAATGAGTGAAATGGTTACATCAATAAGTAATAGCAATAAGCAATAGAAGAATCACCTGGGATGGGGGGTGGGGGTGGAGATTAAAGTGTGTGTACCAAATTGTTAAACTTTGGCTCTTAATAGGGAAAAAAGGGGGCCCTTGGTGGCTCAGTTGGTTAAGCGTCTGCCTTCGGCTCAGGTCATGACCCCAGGCTCCTGGGATCGAGTCCTGCATGGGGCTCTCTGCTCAGTGGGGAGTCTGTTTCTCCCTCTCCCTCTGCCTGCCGCTTCCCCTGCTTGTGCTCTCTCTCTCTGTAGATAAAATCTTTTAAAAATCTTTTAAAAAAATAGGAAAAAATACAGGTCACTCCAGCCCTCTCCTTAAGGAGCAAATCTGCCTGGGGTCAAGGAGAGAAAGAGAGACAAAGAGACAATGAGAATTAAGGCCCTTCTGTTTTGGACACACACACACACACACCCCACCACACCACCTTCCTCGGCCTGGTGACTGTCTCTTCAGCAGAGCTCAGTGGCTTGGAACTCTGCATATCCCCCTTGCCCAAATCTGCCTTCCCCTTCAGTGCTCTTATAAATCTTCGGCATCAAGGGAAAAGCATGGCTTTTGGTCTCATAGCTTTGGCATGGTAAACTCCATAATGGCCTCCAAAGACGCGCAGGTCCAAATTCCCAGAACCCGTAACTATGTTAGCTTCCGTGGGGAAGGCACTCTGCAGGTGGGATTAAGGACCTTGAGAGAAGGCAATGAACCTGGGTCATCCAGGTGGACCCAATATGATCACAAGGGTCCTCCCCAGGGGGAGGCCTCACGGTCAAAGTAAGAGAAGACGTGCCAAACTGAAGCGGCGGGAAGAGAGAAATGAGAGATTTACACTGGCTACACTCCAGAACGGCCTCGAGAGGAGAGCTGCTGCTCCCCGAGGGCCCATTTTCAAGAAGTACTCCAACTGGGAAGTGACTTCCCAACCACGGGGACAGGAATCGCCCCGACCGCGGGGCTCAAGAGACATTGCAGGAGGCAGGAGAGCTAGGGGCAGGGAGCAGAGAGCCGCCAGATGTGGTAAGCCCAGGTCTGAGGCAGCTCCAAGGCCAAGGACCGGGCACATGCCCTTCCTGGTGAGCGGAGGGCCCGGAGGCCAGCACAGTGTCACAGGAAGCCGATGAGCAAGAATCCTGGGCTGTGTTACTACAAGGTCACGCTACCCCGTCAGTGGGGGGCGCTCCAGGCTGTGAGCCACCCAAGGGCTGGGACTTTATCTCAGCTTCTGAAGCCCCCAGGCCGGTATGGACGGGGACACAGGCTGGCCGCTCAAGGACAGCACTTCCCCAAACACCACAGGAGGAGGTGGAAAGGGGACCCAGAGTCTGAGAAGTCGGAAAATCGTGCACGTGCTGCCCCCCTCCCAGAAATTCACACCCCTACACACCTGCCCCATGAGAAGTCCTGAAGCTGAGGGGTCAGGGCACCTTCATTAGCCCAGCAGAATTTATTCAGCCACAGGAAACTGTTACAGTTCGGAATCAAGACTGATTCCGAACCTCCAACAAGGGCTCCCCGTGGAGCACACTTTGAGAAATGGTGACCCGCATGGAAGGAGTGAGTCATCGAGTGGCTGAATGAGTGAATCATGACTTCATTAAGTATTGGGTGAATGAACGGAAGGAAGGAAGAAAGGAGGGAAGGAAGAAAGGAAGGCGGGGAGGAAGCCCAGCTCCAAATGCTGCCCCCCACCCATATCTCCCCAAACGCACCTTGCCCCGCCAGGTGGTGAGGGGCTCAGACGCTGGGGATGAATCCAGATCCTAATGGTGCTGCCCTATTTATACCTGGGTCTGTATGAAAAGGGAAAATCTCCTCTGTTGTCATTTTAATCTACTTCCTCCTGAGGGAAGGCTGGGATATGGTGAGATTCTAGCATGATCCCCACCCCTCTGGGGCCATAGGGCATAATTCGAATCTCAATTCTGAGAATAAACCAGTGAACTGTAAAAGGAGAACAAAAACAAAAACAAAACGGATGGCAGAAGGCGGGGTGGGAGGGAGATGGTGAGTGCATGGAGGGTCAAGGGCACACAGGTCAAGAGTACACAGGTAACTGCTGGGCTCTGTTACTCCAAAAGCAGTCCAAGGATTTGTGTGCGGTTTCTTTGGGAGGTGATCGCAGGAAGCACAAGAGGAGTAGGGAATGAAGACAAGGGAGGGATGAGAACCACGAAGGCGGGTTATTGCTGTGGGCAACTGCTGGGGAGCCTCTGCAAGAGTGGAGAACACACCTCAGACCTGTCCCGCCGCCACGGAGGGCAAGAAGCCAGGGCTTCTGTGCACTCACCCTCCTTGAGTGGCCGAGGGTTGGCCGGGGGTGTTAACACGCTGGGCCTTGCAGTCTGTCCCGCACACCAGCAGAGCACACTCCTGCAGCCAGAGAACATTCTCCAGCATGAGCAAGAGGACTGTGGCCGGTGACATCCGGAGTGGGCTGAGGGTTACGGGCCCTGGGGTGCGGACACACGTGGGTGCCGCTGTATCTGCTTTCCCATTTGGGGATGGGGTGAGGACGGAGTGAGGACGGAGCCTGACCTCGGCTCTGCTCCACAGGGAGGAGATGGCCCAGCCCCAGCCAGCCTCAGGCCAGAGCCCCCCAGAGTGACAAGCAGTGGGGGGTGGGGGGGCCCGGGCTGTGTGCAGCTTTCTCTTCTGCTAGCACACTTCCTCCTCAGCTTCCTGAGGGTTGGGGCGGGCCAGAGGCGGTCCAGCCTGGGCCCGGCCTGGGGAGGCTCACACAGCTCTCCTCGGCACCCAGCCCCCCGGAGCCACCATGAGCCAGCCCCGACCCCCCGGCCTAGAGGAGGCTGCCCTTGAGACCCTCCTGGGCGACCTCATCGGCTACTACAAAGAGGAGGCAGGGGCGGGCCGGCTCCGGGTCTGCAGGCAAGCAGCCCTCACCCACAGGGCCCAGCGGCTCTTGGACACGGGAGCCCCCCCTCAGTTCTATCTGCCTGAGCTTCTGGTCCCTGATCTGGGCTCCACTCACTCCTGCGGGGCACCCAGCCCTGCCCAGCGTGTCTGCCACGAACTGGTGCAAGCACTAGAATTCCTGGAGCTCATATCTGTCAACCTACTTCTGTTTCCCTGGAGGAAGGAAATCAGGTCCCTAAAGGTAGGCACCACCATGCCTCTGAGCCAGGGGGTCTCGGGTAGGGGGCCAGAGCTCTGTCTCTGGGGGCAAGAGCATATCCATCCTGCCCGCTGACTCTAGTCCCATTTTACAGGTGGAGAAACTGAGAGCGGAAGAGGTTAATGCAACTTATCTATGGTCACCAGCTAATAAGTAGCCCAGATAGGCCTCAAACTCAGGCAGTGCAGCCTCCAGCCGCTAGACCAAACTGCCTCTCAAAAGAAGAGGAACGGAGGAGCTCATAATCAACAAGGGGAGGAGTCTGGCTCTGGAAAGCTTTATTCTCTTCTGGCTCCAGGCCAGGACTGCTGGGTTGGGAGCCAGGATATCGGGGCCTCACCCCAGCTCAGTTATTCTCTTGCTATGTGACTTGAGACCAGGTCCTTTCTAGTCTCTAGGCCTCAGTGTGCCCTTCTGTGAAATGGGACAGAGGGTAACATGATCATGGACCAGATTTCCATTCTAGCCAAATGCTCCAGCCCGACTGCTTCTCAGGAGTCTCCACTGCCCCCCGGGCATCTGCCCTTGGTCCTGCCTGGCCACTCCCAGCCACCCTGCTGGGTTGTGTCCCATCTCTAATAAACACCCCTGTTTGTTCCAGACATACACTGGGAACTTCGCCTACCGGGTGCAGCCTGTACTCTCCGAACACACGCTGCACAGCCTTCTGGGCAGGCTGGGCTACACGGCCACCTCCGAGGCAGAGTTTTCGCTGGTCCAGGCCATCAGCAAGGAGGACGCCAAGCAGATGGTGTTTGAGATCTTCCTGGCGAGAGTTGCATGTGAGGCCATTCTGGAAACCTCGAGCAGGCAGGTGCTGGGACTTGGCAGAGAGAAACTGGCCAGGCCCCACTCCAGGCACAGCTCAGGGAGAAGGCTGGTGAAGGCCCACAACTGTCCCGCGGGGGCCCAGCCAGGCCTGGGGCCCCCAGAAAGGCTGGGGCCTGAGAAGGCCCTAGCCGAGGGCCCTGACCATCAGAGCGCTGTGCCGGTGGCCCTGAGTCTGCCTGAGGTCTCGACGTTCCCCTGCACCCCTCTTGCTGGCCCCCTGCTCCGCTTGGACTTCCAGCACCGCACCAGCAGATGCTCAGACAGTGAGGAGTTCTTGACCTGCTACAGTGACCTTGTTCTGCACCGGACACCCTTGTTCCCCAAGGACCTTGTCCTGAGCAGCTTGAAGGCAGACCAAGTCCAGGGCCCAGCCCAGGCTCCCAGCCCCGCTTCAGGTGAGGCAGTCACCTCCTCAGCTAGCAGCGGTGAGTGGTCCCCGGTCCCTGATGCAGTTCCTGAGAACAGAGTGGTCACCGTACCCAGCCAGCTCTGCCTGACACCAAGTCCCCAACTGTCAGGGAAGTCCTTGGATCCAAAGCCAGAAGCCCAGGCAGAGCCGGCCACCCCTGACACCGACGCTGTTCCTCCAAACACTTCCTGTGAGATGCATGAGCTCTGTGAACACCTCTCCCATCTCCTTGGACCCCCAACTCTAGCGGGCCATCCTCGGGGCTTCCCAGGCCCCGGGCTTGAGGGGAATGAACAACCAGAGCCTCTCAGGGGGCCAGAGCCAGCCGGCGAGGGTGGCAGCCCAGACAGTAGGGTCACTCAGCTCTGGAGGGCGACTCAGACCCCCTCTCATGTACGAGAGCCCCCCAACACGCACTATGTCCCTCCCGTGGGAGCCGGAGGTGCCAATTCCCACCCGAGACCACCACTCAGGCAACAGCTGAAAATGTCACCCCTGGATGGCACAGGAACAGACACCCTGACTGAGCACATGGCTCTGCCACCAGCAAAGTGACTACTTAGAGAGGCGGCAGCTCTGGGGCCCACAGCTTGTCAGACGCAGGGACCAATCTGCTCATCAGTCCCTCTGGTCTCAGGTCCCAGCCCTGTCACCTACTGACTGTGTGACTTCGCGCCACTCACTCTCTCTGAGCCTTGTTTCCTCATCGGTAAAGTGAGTGTGGTCGGACCTACTCGCAGGAGGCTGGGAAGAGTTGGAGAGACAAGGTGTGCATGGCGCCCCTCAGTGCCTCCCTTGGGCGCTTCCTGTCCCTTCACGTCCCTTGGGCATATCCGAGGGACAACTTCCTTCGGCATCCTTCAGGCACCTGTCACAGGGCAGATGAAAAGACAGCTGCGTAGATAACCAGACACATAATATACCCTTAACTCGCTTAGACTCCTCAGTCAGCCTCCCTTCTCTCTCTACTAACTTCTGGTTAACAGAGAGCAGAACCGGGGCGCCTGGGTGGCTCAGTCGGTTAAGCGTCTACCTTTGGCTCAGGTCATGTTCTCCGGGTCCTGGGATCAAGTCCCACATCAGGCTTCCTGCTCTGTGGGGAGTCTGCTTTTCTCTCTCACTCTCTCTCTCTGCCCCTCTCCCCTCCCCACTGCTCGTTCTCTCTCTCCCTCTCTCAAATAAAAATCTTTAAAAAAAAAAAAAACAGAACAAAACCACACTTGGGAGCTCAGGATCATATGCTGGCTCCCCATCCAAGGATCGGGGCTCCACTCGTGGGCTGCAGGCCCCCCTCCACCAGCCATCTGTTGCTCCCACATGTGCACATACACACACACACACTTGCACACAAGTGGGTACATCCAGAGGTGCGGCTCTCCCCACAGCATTCGCTACCCAAGCAAATGACCCTGTCTATGCACAAGCTAAAGCCAGAGGACCCTGTCTAGGCCAAGTTCCAGGATTCTCTTGCTCAATTTTCTCCAGGGGCTCCCAAGGCCACACCAAGCCCGAGGCTCGGCCCCTCACTATACTTCTGACCTCATCTCATGCCCCTTCCTTGCCCCCAACCCGCTTCAGACAAGACAGACTGGTGTCTTCTAGATTCCCCAACAACCTAAGCCAACCCCTACCTCCCAGCCTCTGTGTAAACTGTTCACTTCCCCACTCCACACCCTGTCCCCATCTTTCTTGTTATTCACATCTCACCTTAATGTCACCTTCTTAGAGAGACTTTTCCCCGGCCACCCATCTATCACATCAGCTTAGTTTAATTTTCTACACGAAGACATTTCATGGATTCATTTTCCATTTCCTGCACTAGAACATAAGCTCTCTGAGAAACTTCACCTTGACTCATTCACCACGGTTTCCAAGGATCCATCAAATGAAACCATCAAATGAGTAGAAAACTTAGAAAATACAGATGAAGGGCACCTGGGTGGCTCAGTCCGATGAGTGTCCAACTCTTGATTTCAGCCAGGTCATGATCTCAGGATTGTGGGATCAAGCCTCGCATTGGGCTCCATGCTCAGCACGGAGTTTGCGTGTCCCTCTCCCTCTGTTCCTCTCCCACTTGCACTCTCCTAATAATTTGATAAAATCGTTAAAAAGAAGGAAAGAAAGAAAAAGAAAGAAGGAAAGAAAAAAAGAAAGAAGGAAGGAAAGAAGGAAAGAAAGAAAATACAGATGAATATGAAAACAAAAGCAGAAGTTACTATAGTATCTACTACTGGGAGATACTCAACGGTATTAGCATAATTTGGCATGGAGCCCAAACTCAGGACTCTGAGATCAAGACCCAAACTCGTATCAAGAGTCAGACACCCAACCAACTGAGCCACCCAGGCGCCCCTTGGTCTTTTTTTATAAATGTGGGATTGTAGTATTTATAGTGTTGTGTTCTGCTTTTATTTCCCAGGGAGTTATTTTAACTAATTTTAGATTTAGAGAAAAGTTGTGAAATAATGAAAGGAATTCCCTTACAGTCCTCCCCCTGCTTCTCCTGAAACTGACATCTTACATAACCATAGTACGATTGTGAAGAACAGGAAATCAACACTGATACAGTATTACTGACTAAGCTACAAACCTTTTTTAAATTTCACCAGTTTTCCCATTACTACCCTTTCTCCATTACAGGATCCTATCCAGGATCCCACATTGCATTTGTTACTTTTCTTTCATCTCCTCCAGTCTGTAACACTGTCTCAGCCTTTTGTCTTTCATGATCTTGATGCTTTTGGTCAAAATTTAATACTAATCAGTTTTATTTGAGTGTCACAATTTGGGTTTGTCTGGTGGGGGGGGTTGTTTGTTTTTTGTTTTGTTTTATGGCTGAAGTTATGCATTTCTGGCAAAATATCATGAAAAAATGATGCTGTGTCCTTGGTGCATCTTATCAAAGAGTTCATGACGTCAATACATCTTATTACTGGTGATATTTACCTGCTGCATCCCTGGAATAAACCCCTTGTCCTAGGAGCCCTGGTTCCTTTCATTGGAGAATGATGTTTAGACACCAAGATCCAGGCTCCAGGTGTGCTCACTGTTACTGGCTGTCACTGCTTTCAAGCCTAGTCAGGAAACATATGGATATGTACTAACCCATGCATATACACATGTGGCTCTATTTCCATATCTATATAGAATTTTAAAACTGTGAGTTTATACTGATGCCTCTGCTTCTAATCCAACACCACAGGGTTTATTTTACCTGTGCCCTTTTATTTATAACTTCTTTCTCTGGAAGAGAATGAACCCCAGCTCTCTTAATCTACAGTCGACTTATTTGCTCAAGACTATTACTAGGGGTGCCTGGGTGGCTCAGTCGTTAAGCGTCTGCCTTCGGCTCAGGTCATGATCCCAGGGTCCTGGGATTGAGCCCCGCATCGGGCTCCCTGCTCT